TGGTTTTCATATGTGTCCCACGTGGCTTGGAAATAAGTCTTCTCTACATATAGGATTAGCGATCAGGCCATTCAGACCTGCACCATTGCTAATGCTTTTATTGGCTTGAGCTAAGAGTGAGCATTTTGAAAGTGAGTGAGTAGTCTAGGCAGACTTGTATTTTGTTTAGAAAAACGGTTCTTTCTGAGTGTTTTATAAAGTTTTCTCTTAATAGGCATTTTATTTTTGAATAGTTTTAGATTTGCAGAAAATTTCAAAGATGGTACAGGGTTCTGATGTGTGCCACACCTAGTTTCCATTACTAATAGATTACGTTAGTATGATACACTTGGCATGATTAGTGAACCAATACTGATAAATTATTATTAGCTAAAGTCCAGACTATTCCAGGGAGCATTTGAGATCTTGCTTCCGGCATACTCTCGTCAGTTTGGCTCAAATAAACTCTTCTAAAAAATAAAAAATAAAGTCTAGACTATTCCAATGTCCTTAGTTTTTACCTTTTTCCTGGCCCAGGATCCCATCCATTTAGTGATCATGTCTCCCTGGGCTCCTCCTGGTTGTGATGGCTTCTCAGACTTATGACTTTGACAACATTGACAGTTTTGAGGAGTATTGATATTGGTCTGGTGTTTTGTAGAATGTCCTTCAAATCTGATGTTTTCTCGTGATTGACTGGGTTTTGGGGTTTGGGGAAGATCATAGAGGTAAATTGCCATTCTCATCACATCATGTCAAGAGCACATACTATCAATATGACCTACCACTCTCGATTTAACCTTGATCACCTGGGCGTGAAGTTGTATACATATGTAAGTCACTATAATTTTTATTATAATGAAATGTCATTGTTAATAATATTATGATGTAAAGGCTAGAATCCAGAGACTTTAAATTTCTCCTTAAATTGCTCTGTGAGCTTGGCTGGTCACTTCACTTCTCTGACCCTCAGAGTTTTTTGTTATTGTAAAACCAAAGTGTTGCTTGGCTAAGCATGCCAATCTAAACATATATCTTTTTTTTTAATCCTCACTTGAGGATATACTTTCATTGATTTTTTCAGAGAGAGAGGAATGGGGGGAGAGAAAGAGAGAGAGAGAAACATTGATGTGAGGGAAACATCTATTGGTTGCATTCCCTACGAGCCTCAATTGGGGACTGAACTCAAAACCTAGGTATGTGCCCTGACCAGGAATTGAACCTGAAACCTTTTGGTGTACAGATGATGTCCCAACCAACTGAGCCACCCAGCGAGGGCTAAACATATATCCTTTTGAAATATCGTTTGCATGTCTGTGGTTCTGAAATGCTTTCTGAACAGTGTGTAGCTCTAGGTTTGCAAACTGTGGTAACCAGCCTCCTTGGTGTCCCAGTGAGTAGGGCTGATCTGTTGTGGACATGATGGTGTGTGACTTCTGAGGTTAGATCATGAGGATGTCATAGCTTCCACTTGGTGTTCTCTTGGCTCACTCACTCAGGGAGGCACAGCCACTGTCATGAATGCTCCAGCAGCTCTATGAAAGGCACACGTGGTAGGAACTGAGGCCTCCTGCCAACACGCAGTACCAGTGGCCCGAGACTGAGGGTGCCACCTTGGAGTCAAGTCTGCCAGCCCAATCCAGCCTTTGCATGACGATTCCCAGTTATCATATTACCGCCACCTCATGAGAGACTCCCATTCAGACCCAGCCAGCTAAGTCACTCCAGAATTCCCAAACTCCAAAAACTATGTGAAAGAAAGAAATATTTTTAGGTTTTAAAAAACAAACAACTGAGGGTTGGATGCCAAGGCTTTGAAACTGTGTTCTAGGCCCTCATTGTTGAGGGGCTGCGTGTGGGGGACTGACAGGCTTGGTTCTGAGATTCCTCCCCGCTTAAGCCACTGCAGCTCTGTCTCTGGGTATATATTGAGGATCCGCGTAGGATTTGTTTTGGAGAAAGGAGTCTGCTGCCAAAAATTAACTGGAAAACACTGGATTAGGGAAACAAGGGATTAGTTGCCCTCTTAATACTCTGAGTCCATCCATCAGTGTGAAAGGAATGCTTCTCACAAACACACAGGCATTATTTTCTTCAGGGCACGTCTTGTGCCAGGAGCACAATCCTCAAGGTTAAGTATGCTGCTCACTGATAAATGTATCAGGAGCTGCCCTTCCTGTGCAGGAGGCTGGACAAAGTCCAGGCCATGGAGAAAGCACTGTTCCTGCAGAGCAAAGAGCCCTCCGAGGCCATAGCTCCTCCCTGGGCCACGTTCTGCAAACGGATGCGTTCGCTTCTGTTGCTGAAATTTGGTTATAACAACGGTATTAACAGTATCAGCAATAATGGCCAGCATGTCCTGAGTGCTGTGTGCAAGGCCTGGGGTAGGGGTTTTGCATTTATGATCTCCTTTAATCCCCGTGATCGCTGGGAGGCAGGCATTTTAGAGACTGAGGAAATGAAGGCTGGTGGGGTAAATATTTCTCCTGAGTCATGATCAGGAGGAGTAGAGCTGCAGAGAAGTCTCGGTCAGTCTATAGCTACACCACCCTTTGCCACCATTTCATGTATTTTAGGCCACTATTCAGAACTGAGCACCCCTTCTTTGGGTCTGAAATGCATTGATTTCATACTAGGAGGTTTTACTAGTCAGTCATTGTAAGAGCAGCTCTTCATTCATTCACTCGCTAGTTCATGCAAATGACACTGGGAGCCTATTCTGTGCCCAGGCGCTGTGCCAGGCTCTGTAGACAGAAGGGCAAAGAAAACAGGTACTGGGGCACCCTCCAGCTAAGCTGGGTGTTGGGCTGGAGGAGGACCTGAGAAGCTGAACCCGAGATAGACAGGAAGGTTCCAGATACTGGAGACCAAGCTAGAAAATGCCTTCAAAGGACCAAAGACTAGGTGCCACCTGAAGCTGGATCCCAAAGAGCCACGACCTTCCAAAGACAGTCCCCCTAGGAAGAGTCCCCTTAGTCCCTCTAGGAAGCCTGCCTGGGTTGTGCGTCTCCTGCCTGGGCACCGCCAGGGGCCTGAGAAGGCTCCTGTTAGCCGGAGCCTCCGACACGGCCCTGAAACCTAGGGGACTCGGTGGGGAGAGGCCTCAGTGTGGAATCGCCCCTGGGGAACCTGTGCTGTGTTNCTCCGACACGGCCCTGAAACCTAGGGGACTCGGTGGGGAGAGGCCTCAGTGTGGAATCGCCCCTGGGGAACCTGCGCTGTGTTAAATGAAGCCTCCTGCATCATTTTGGGAGATTTTTCAAGAGCAGGTTTTTAACTGCCCCTGCGATTCAATAAAACTTAGCTCCGTCTTTCAGTTGGCCTCGTTATCTTAACAGTTCTCGGCTGGAACTTTGTTTTCGTTGAATTCCAACTGTTCCAAATGGGTGTATTTTATATTTCACTTCATTCATCACAGGGACTCCACCTGAGCCCTGAGGCTGGCTTGGAACCTGCCCCAGAAGCTATGGGGATTTTATTTCTACAAAGGGAAGGAACGGACTGTCCAAGGGAAAAGCGGTCTCCACCCATGGAGACCCTCTGGTTTCTCTCTGCTCCAGCTCAGATCAACTGTCAGCGCTGGCGTGAAGCTGGCCCCGCCGAGCCGCAGCCTCACCCGCGGCTGCCTCCTGCCACGGGTCACCAACATGCCAGGCCCCACCTGCTCCTAGGGCCACTGCCTGCCACATACACTCCCATAGGCCTTGACTGTGCCCCTCCCCGTCTCAGAGTCTCTGCAAGAAAGCAGGGTGGGCTGGCTCAGGGCCTTGGTGCTTCTGGCTGATTTTTCAAGTCTTGCTTTAATGTTTTTACTCAGGGATCTAGAAGGCAGGCAGCTGACTTAAAAAAAGACGTACTAAGGACTAACTCAACATTTCCCCAAAGTGTGTTTAAGCCAATTCTGGGCAAACTGCGAAGCAGAGGTAGGGTCTAGGTCGCAGTAGATTTGACATAATAAAACCAGTCTGCTCTTGGTTATTTAGAGGGTGCCTGAAGAAGGTTTGCAGGTGAACTTGGGATAAGGTGGGACCTGCCTACCCTGGAGAAACTAGTCCGCCATACCAGCAGGGCTGCCAGGCAATGAGCTGTGGGGCTCTGGGTCCACCACCTGGCTCCACTCCAGCTACTCAGGGGCCTGGTGCTCTGTCATCCCTGGGTGAGGCCTGGAAGCCACTTACACATGGATAACCTGCCCAGCAGTTAAGGCCACCTAATCATTAGGGGCTGCGGTCATACAGTAAAGTGAGCAACGAAGCACCTTGTCTATGAAATGTGAGGTCAACACTGGACTACCCCAGCCTTTTCCTTTAATTCGGCCTTTGTCGATTTAATTCTGAGTAAGGAAACATTAATAAAAACAAGCAACATCTGTAAAAGTAAAAGAAGGTGAAAAGGAGGGGGGCATTACTTCTGTGACCCTATTGAAAGCATCCATCCTTGTCACACAGACAGTGAGAAGGCAGCCGTCCACAAGCCAGGAAGTGGGCCCTCCCTGGAACCGGACCATGCTGGCACCCTGATCACTTCGTCTCCAGAACTGAGAAATGAATTTGTTATTTGGTGGCAGCCTGAGCAAAGACAGGTACAAATTATTGATGCTTTTCTTCCCTCTAGTCTAGCAGTTCCTGTGAGTAGTGCTGCTTAGTAAACAGGAATTTGGCGTTCACAGGTGGGAGCAACAATCAAGTCATTTGTGAAATCACAAACAGGTTTTACATCCTGGCTCTCACCTTGGGATGGGACTAATTAGATCATCCCAGGGGCGAGGTCCGGACATCACTAGCATTTACAGCTCCCCAGCTGACTCCAATGTGCAGCCAGATGAAACCCATCAACCTAAAGCTAAACAGGCAAAAGACGGGGTAAGACGGGGTTAAGGGTCCCCACCAAAAGAAAAGGTGCCAAGCCCTCATTCCTGTTGCAGAGGTGCATGGCCTGCTTTGTGGGGATTAATGGGATGAAGGTCAAGTGGGACAGAAGGTGGTGAATCATTTCAACAAACCAAACCAAAACGAACAGCATCAAGCTCACAAAAGTGCTTTTTATTTGAGGCAAGGAGAAATATGGCTGAAAGGATTACAGTTCCAAGCAGCCAAAATCCAACTGTTAGTGGCACTAATTTTCACTTCGTAGACTCAGCTTAGTCAGAAAAGGGTACTTTCCCTGGGAGCTGGACAAGAAAGGCAAAGAAAACTGGAAGAGATCTCTAATCTACTGAGACTGCTCTTTTGATCCAATGCCAGGCTGGCCAGGCCCTCCCTGGGCACTGCAGGTGGCTGCCCTGCCCTAAGGGACATGACCTACTATACTACATACGGGAAGACTGAGGCAGGGAGGACGGTGGCAGGTCGCCTGGGGAGTGGCAGGCACCCACCGCTCAAAACTCTTCCTTGAAGGGATAATTCTTGTGGTGGGCACAGCTGTCAAGAGAAAAGAGGAACACATAAGTTTTTCAAGAAGAGATTTCAACCATAGTAAGTTACAAAAAGCAGAAATGGCAAGTGTCTCATTCCAGGTAGAAATAAAGGCCTGTGAGGCAACAAGTCAGTTCTGAGCTGCAGGTTGTGGGTCCGCACCTGAGGGCAGCCGCCCACCCTCCAGGCTCCTCTGCCTTGGGCTTTCATGAACTGGCCCACACAAGATGGATGCCCCCTCCCTGTGTGCCTAGCACTGTGCCTGGGGCATCCGGGGCAGCAAGACATGACTCCTGCCTCCTGGTAACTCAGTCTAGGGGGCAGGACAGGAGAGCATCTTATTGTCTTAAACATTAAGAGGGTGAGAACAACATAAGAGATGTTAGGAACCTGAGTATGTGACACAGAAAGTGCTCCAAGTACATGGAGAGAGGGGTACCACCACCTCCAGGGGCCTCCTGGCATTAGTGGGAGCTAAAGTGGGCCCAGTGGAGTAGCTGAGGATTCGATAAAGGAAATAGGGGAGGGAACAGGCTGGGCATGAGTTGCAGGTGTGTTTGCCAGCCCAGTCCCACTAGGCAGGGCCAGTGGCTTGTGTTGGGAACATAATGGCAATAATGTTAGAAAGACTGGCTGGGCCGTGTGAAAGGCCGAGGGTGAACCCAGCCTGGGCATATAACTCTTTATGCAAATATTCAGAACCATTCAAAAGTTCGCTGTGGTCTGCCTTTTACTGCATCCTATCAAACCTGAGGTCTGTAACACTGCCATTAGCAACAGAAGCCAAATGCCACAATAATCGCCAGAGGTAATGTGCATATGTGTGCATGTGTACAGATGCTTACAAAAAGCTCCCTGGGTGACCTGGGAATATTGGGGACAGCCTTTCCCTCCTATTCAGACCCTAAACATCCCCACTAAACATCGGTAGCCCACCAAATGATCTGACAGCGGTTCCCAGAGCAGCACTGGAGTGGAGGAAGTCTAAACGTAAAGGGGCCAAACAGAACCACTGGTCTGTCAGACCCGAGCGCTTCAATATGCATGTCAGGGGTGGAAAGGAAACTGAATGGATGACATGGAGATTCCCACAGAACTGCTGTAAGTTGGCCAAAGATTCACTTTTCTTCTCTCTGGACCACTAGATCCAAGAATGGTTTCAATGTCTAAAGATTAAATAGCCTGAACGCAAACAGGGACATCAGAAGGGGCCGTGGTTCAGGCTGCCGGTGATAAACTCCGTGGCCTAGTTTGAATCTGAGGCCCTGGTGGGACAGCAGCACGCTCACAAGCCTGTTTACACCCGAAGACGGGAGAGTTATTGTACAGATGCCACCTGGTGGACATCTGCCTGGGGGGTGAACGCCACCGGTGGGGCAAACCCTGGACTGGACAGAGAGCGCACAGAGGCTGAAGGAGAAAGCTAGCACCCCACCCTGGCTCAGGGAATGCTTGTAGTTTGTGCAGAATAGTAACTAACTAGTAAGGAGACAGTAGGGACCGGCAGAGATCAGACAACGAAAATAGCGAGAGGAGGTTCTTAAGTGTCTCCTGGAAAATGGGATGTTTCTTTCTGAAAGCACAAGTGACTTTTAAACTTTAGTTATTGTATGGGCAGGAAAGAAAACTAACAGTCTCCCTTATTACCTCCCTCAGAGTCCAAACGACAAGTCAGAGGGACTACAAGGAGCAGCAAATGTGCAGCTGGAGGCCTGCAGGGGACACTGCCAGTCAGAGGGGTCGAGTGACCTCCTCAGAGTAAGTGCCAGAGCTGGGATGATCTCGGGCGCAAGCACCACAGTCTTCCCACTGAGCCCCTTTTATCAGCATCATTATCAGATAGGGTCATAGGCAAATTCTTCCAGGAAGGTGGGACAGAAGTCACCTGGGGTCCTCTGGTTTTCACCTACAGTAAGATTTGGAAATTAAATGCCAGAATCTGGGGTTACTGCAGGTCGGGCCCACAATGCACCTGGGCCAGGAAGAGAAGATACAAGAGCACGTCTTGGCATCTTCCCTGCGGCTGTGGGCAGCTCAGCTGACAAGGATGAACCGTTTCTGGCTGCACGTGCATGAGAATGCAAGGACATGCGTCCAAGTGAGAACGGCCGTGACAGGAGCACTTGGATGCTCTGGCCTTCAGGAGTCACGCTCTCGTCCTGCAGCATCTGGTACTCCCCTGGGACCCACTCACCTCACTAAGGCACAGACCCTCCAGTTCCTGTTGTAGCTAAGTAAAGTGGTCATGTCCTCGCTGCTCAGTTCAAAGTCAAAGACCTAGAGGGAAAAAATGTCCAATGAGTTCTGCAAGTAAAGCTCAAACCCGGGCTGTCCCAGCAGCTCGGTGCAGGACCGCTGATGAGACATTGCCCTGGGTGGCGCAGGGAGACAGGGAGACTGAACTCAGAGAAGTTGACTGTCTCACTATTCAGAGGAGGCACAAGTTTCAGCTGAGTAGAACATGAAATATCGAAAACAGTCCTTTCCTTCCAGGGCCTCCCATTCAGTTCATTTTAAGACAGAGAGTAGGGGACCCACAAACACTCCAGGGACAGGATGAGACCCTATGCAGAGTCCTCCCCCATTCCCTTCTCCACTGAGGTAACAAGGGCGACCAGCCGGGACCTTACCTGAAAGTTCTCAGTGATGCGTTCAGGTGTCACAGACTTGGGGATCACGACCAAATTCCTCTGCATGGGGAACCGAATCAGCACCTGTGAAGAGATGTGCCGAGTCAAGTATATGTACACCAAGAGCTGTCATTATCTCACTTAATCCTAAGTATCCATAACCAGATGGGGGAAATCCCACAACTTCACAGGAGAAAACCAGGGCCCAGAGACGTTAGGGTCACATCCCACAGCAGGGAGGCGGCACTCCAGACCTGCCCCCAGAGCCCCGCCCTCAGCCAGCACGCCAGGCGCTGTGTCTCCCAGGTGTCCTACCCCCACAGAGACCCACCGCTCAGGGATCAGGAACTCCTCCTCCCGCTTGGGAGGGGGGCAGGTTCCCGTGCAGCTGATAACGAGTTTTTCTAGTACAGAGGTGCGCTTGCACCTACAGTGGCGGCTGCTCGCCCCGCAGCAGGGCAGGCACTGTTACTCCCGGGCCGCACGGCGGTCTTCTAACGCCCCAGTTGGTGCGGGTCTACTACACACTCCAGGACCCTAAGCCACACTTCTTGGAGGGCCTGACTGGCTGGCTCGCCTTCCACTTAGCTCACTGGGACCACCATGAATGCAGGAGTTCTGGGAATGGTCACAAGCACCTGGAAACTGCGTACCTGGGCTGTGGTTTTCTTGTACTTGTCAGCTATGGCTTTGATCCTGGGGTCCTCCAGTAGGGAAGGGTCCTCAGGCTTGGCCCTGGAAACAAAGACGGCCTGTGTGAGCAACCACTGGTGCCGCCACTCAAGGCAGCTGGCACCCAACCCTCGAAGGGCCAGTCCCCTCCCGATGCGAAGCTTGGTTACAAACGCCCAACCCTCTGGGGAGAAAGAGCCGGCCTCTTGCTACTAGAAACACCAACCAGAAAACCCAACAAAGAGGCTCCTGGGAAGGTTTGCAAATTTGTCCCGGAGCCACTGATGGTGAATTTCCTTGGTGCGAAAATTTTCTCTTTAGCCATTTCTAATTTTCACCAACTGAAAAGAAATCATGACCCCACAGAAACTCACCAGGGCCTGTCGGGAGAGCCGAGGGGACTGTAGGCTGTCACCACAATGCCTTTGGACTGGCAATACTGGATTAACTTCTCCTGAGTGAGGTATGGGTGGACCTCGATCTGCAAATGCAAACAGAAGGCTGGTGCAGCCCTGGGCACAGGTGATGGCACCGGCACACACAGGGAAGGTTCCCCACACCAAGGCCCTGCCTCATCCGATAGGAAATTGTGTAACCAATGTCCTGTCTCCCAGATAAGCCGTAACAACGTCTACGTTTCCCAGCTAGTGTCCTCGACATTAACAATAACCTTGTTACCGACATACCGAGGCCATGAGCCCTAAGGGTTTTTTCTGGCTTTGGCCATTTATCAACTGTGACAGGTCTGAGGATCTCAGAGTCTACAGGGTGCTAATCTGTGAGACCCTGAGCCATCACGAGCCAGGCTCCTGCAAGTTTCACCCCCAGGTGTGCCACTGTCATTCTGAATCATCAATGAGGATTCAGTGCTCAGAAACTTGCCTCCTGGTTGCTCCCTGGGTGACATGAACAAGCAGTAACTGCCAGGACCAGAGGGCACAGAAAGTCCACCATGCCCACCAGCCTCCCTGCTGGACACTTACCTGGTTAACTGCTGGCTTATACTTCAAGCCAGGTTTGTTTAAGATCTTCTCGATCTGGAGATGGTTGAAGTTGGAGATCCCAATAGCTTTCACCAGCCCCTCATCCACCAGCTCTTCCATGGCCTATAGACAAAAGAGGGTCTGCTGGTGCCTGCCATGTGCCCCGAAGGACAGGGTCAGAAGCATCTCTTAAACCAGCCCTGCCTGACCTACTCAGTGCCAGAGTCAGCCCTTTGAGGAGCCTAGAGACACCAGACAGAAGCCAGGCTGGCTTTACTAAGGCAGGAAGAACAAAAACAGAGGCAGATCAACATGCAACGCAGGAAGTGGCAGAACCCACAGTTGTCCACTCACAAGGACAGGAGGAAGCCAGCACTGAGAAGAGAGTCACATCAGAGACAGCCTTACCTCCCACGTGTCCAAAAACTCGGTGTTAGAGGCAATCACATTGCCTTTCCCGTCCAGTGGGAAAAACTCGTTCCCGGGCTGTCATTACAATCAAAACACAAACGATCAGTAACAGCCCTTCACACGTGCTGAGGGGGTTGCAGCTTTGAAAGCAAAGTTCTAAAAATACTCTAAACTACGACAGCTGGCTGGTTTTTAGAAGATCATCAAGGGCGTATCTGTGTCCATGTGAAAAAGAAATAGGCAGACAACTCCTGAAGCCCCAGACACTTGTTCTATCAAATGGGTCGGAGCTAACAGATGGAGATGGGTAATTCTCGGTCAGTGAGATGAACCCCGCCATGGACTGGAGCATGCGGTGGTGGAAGGACTCGAGACTGGGGCTCATGGGGCCACATCCTGGCCGGATCACCAGCCTACAGAACCATCACCTCACCAAGCCTCGCTGGTTTATCATGAAACACAAAAGATAAAAGCCAGGCCTTGAAACCCTGAAGCACAATAAAATAGAGCTAAAATAGGGTAAAACCCACACTGTCCATCTGGCTGACAGAGCAGAAAACTGAGCCCATCGCTGGAATGAAGGCAAAGGACATAATAATGCTAGGCTCCTTCTGTACGTCGCACTGCCGATAAATACTCACCAAGCCTCCCCAGGATGCTGCATGTGTGGAATGCAGGAATAACACACATACACAGGGGCAGCACATGAACGTGCATGTGTGTATGTGCCTCTGGGCGGGGTGGGGATAGCTGATGACACCCGTGGCTGTGCACAGAAATGTCACCTTAGCCACGATTGCTGTGATAAAGTTGTAAATTACACAATAGCCAACAGACCCAGTGTAGGGCTCCTCAGACTCTGTAATGTGAGCCGAGTCACTGGGGTTTGTATTCAGAAGCCCTGGGTGGGGCCTGAGACTGATTTCTAACAAGCCTCCAGGTGATGTCACTGCTGCTGGCCTAGGGACTGAACCTTGAGCAGTAACGACACACACAGAGTGTGCACCCTCTCACAACCTACTAATAAAAGAGGCCCAACATGCTGCAGGCTACACCTGAGCCCTGCGCCCGTACCTTGAAGCTGACGGGCCAGTGGATAAGGTAGAGGTCCAGGTAGTCCAGCTTCAGGTCGCTGAGTGTCTTCTTGCAGGCTCCTTTCACCATGTTTTTCTCATGGTACGTGGACCACAGCTGAAGCCAGTGAGAGAACACATCATATCGCTGCCACACAGGAAGGTGTTTCCTGGCTGGCAGCCAGATGGCTTGAAGCCGGACAATCTGCTTCCCTCTCACCACAACCCACCCATGTCTCTGTGATGCTATACATCATGGCGAAGGAGATTCCACTCACAGCGTGGGTCCTAACTTCCCAAAGGAAGGTAAGATAATCAGGTCAAGGATACCTCTCAGAAGCACCGAACCACAGGCATAAAATAGAATGGACAGCTCGGCACCAGCCCTAAGCCCCACAGGCGGCTTCTCAGGGCTATTTTCCTACGAGGCTGGTCTCTCAGAGCCAGCCTCACCCTCCCACCAGGTGTCCCCTGGGTACCAACAGCCTCCAGGTAAAAGACAGTGGCCAGCAGTGGAGATCCAGTCTGTAGGTGGGAACCAAGTTCCACTCTCAAAGATAAGTCCCTGGAAAGAAAGCACCAACCCACGACCTTAGCCTCATCAGCAAGGGGCTCTACCCGATGGGTCCAGGAGGCCGGACCATCCAATAGGCAGCCACGGGCGAGCTCTGGAGCCCTCATGGCCTCACGTCAACACGTTTCTCCAGGAGGAGTTGTGCCCGGGGTGATAACTGTAGCTGTATTCAGAGGCCCCCGAGTATGGCGGTGGCTCCTAAGCTGTCGCCGCCACCCATGGATAACGGTGACCGAGAACCCTGCCCCGCGGCCCCCAAGCGGCACCTTGCTGACGATGAAGAGGTCTTCGCGCTTCACCGCCTGCTCCTTGAGCTTCTCCTGGATGGCCACCCCCACCTCGTTCTCGTTCTGGTACACGTGGGCGCAGTCAATGTGGCGGTACCCGACGTCAATCGCCACCTTCACAGCCTCCGTCACTTTGCCCGGAGGGGACTGAAGGGAAAGGAAAGAGAAGGCATGGCGTTAAAACCCCAAATGCACCAGGAGATACAGTCCGCACACCACCCAGGAAGGAGGACAGTGGGAGCCGGCCACTCCTCAGGGACTCGCCGCCCTCAGACGGAACCAGGACAATGCCACCTTGCTCCATTTTCCGATAAGCTGACTTAACAGCAGCATCGGTCACCTTAAAAAGATGTGCAAAGACATCTGCTTCCTTGTTTCTTCACATCTGTCCATTTACAAACCACTGTATAAAAATCCCCCACTGTCTGAATCTATTAGGTTCCCAAGACAGTAGGGATACCACTTCCTTCAAATAGCTCAAAATATTTCAAAAATCACTGTAAATGTTTACCCAAATTCCCATATGGTTTCAGAGTTCAGCAAAGGCCTGTGTTTTACTTTCTCTTTTTTGTGCATGGATTCAGATATCGGCAATCCTTTATTCTAAAGCAGTTCTGGGAGTTTATCATAGTCGAGAACATTACTGATACAGAGTCAAAGGCCTGGATGTCAACTCTCTATCAGAATCTTGGAAGATCACCGCATGGTTTGTGGTCACAGCTACAAAGAAGCTAAACGGCTGGCTGTGCCCAAACCATTGAGTGACCAGGGCAGGTGTGGGGAGCCTGGCTGCTGAGGAGGAGAAGTGCCGGCATAGCCATTAAGCTTCATGCAGATGGACTGCATGGACACTTACTCCATCTGCTCAGACCAGAGAGGCGAAAAATAAACGTGTGTGCAGCCACCTGTTGAATGACTAGAGCGAATTCCTCTGGAGAGCCGGGGTAGAAAGGAACGAAAAGGAAAACTCCCCAGGGCCATCGCAGCTGCACACATCTGCTGTTTTGACATCGGCTGTGGTAAACAGGCGAGGGGGGCAGAAGAGGGGGCCATGGGAATGAGAGCATGACCTGAGCTAGCAGCCTGAGCTTGCCACCATGGAGGGAGCAGGGAGGCAGGCGGCGATGCCAACAGGTGTTAAACCAAGGAACATCTTCAGACCATCTGGCAATCTCCTATTTCCACGGAGGACCTACGAAGCTGCACCTGCAGCCTTCCCCACCCTTCATAGCTCAAGGAACAGAGCAGAGCCATAGACAGTAACTACCTCAGCCCCTCTGTGGCATCCTGGGCACAGCTGTCGCTGATGTGAGCAGTGAGAACAGACCACACCCCTTCCCAAGAATGAGAACAAGTCAGAGACCCAGGTGGGGGAAACCACCCAGCATCCAGCATGCATTTAACTTCCTTCAGACTTAATGGAACCCTGATTTTCCCTGCAGAGCCCTGTACTGTGCCAGCCCAGCACCATGTAGCCCCCAACCCTGGGCAGGAGGGTGGACACATTTCTCTGGCCCGGCCTAGTCACACACTACATCTATCTGCCAGGGACTGGTACAGGGGCAGAGACGTGACCACCCAAGCAAGCCCCACCCATAAGATTCAATCTTTGGCCTCAAATTGGCACCAAGACAACATCTCATTCTGTTGCGGTCACCATGCTGGGAGGATCTGAGCCAGGAGCTGCCAAAGGAAAGTGGGATTGAGGGTCAGACGAGGGTTACATTTATATCCTTGAACCTGGTACACCTGAGGTCATTTTGTAGGTCAATGAATCCCTACCTCAAACATCTTTTTTGTCTGCTTCAGTTAAGTCGGCTCTCCATTCCTTTGAACCAGAAGAGTGCAGACCCAGAGAACAGTCTGAATGGTCCCCCACATCCCCACGACACGAGAACAAGGAGCTGCACACACTTGCAGTCACCCTGCTTCTCACAAAGATAAACAAGTGGTATGTAGGCCACCTGCCTTTTGTCAGCATCTGTGAAGGAGCTTGTGCACACAAAGGTGGAAAAGGTATTCAGCCACCACCCATAAAACTTTTGTACTTAAAACAAGGAAACCTACTCCAAGCCTCTATTTATACCCTTTATATTTCACTGTCCCTGCCCCCAGTCACGTCTCTAACCAATTCAGTACAAACCTCATCTCCTCATCCCCCCAAATCTAAAGTTATCTTACTTTTCTTTTCAATTCGGCGCCTATCTTCTGGGTACCTGCCATTTACCAGGCACTGGGGGAAGCACTGGAAATAGCTGTGAACACAGGCACTACACCAGGCCTCAATGAGCTTAAGCTAAATGTACACATTTTGTGTTATTTTAAATAAATATACAGATTTTCAGGGTGTTAAGCCCTCTTTTATCAACTTCTCCTCATTTACTCTAGAGTAGTGTTTTTCAAATGACCGGCCTAAGGTCAGGACCGCACTTTCTGCAAACATGAGACAAAATAAAAACCTTGGTGTGCACCCCACCTAGTAGGGCGAAGGACGACTCTGAACTTTTGCTCCAGTTCCATGTGTATGTCTGTGGGCTGCATCGTTATTACAGAAACTGTAATCTGGTGTTGCTAAGACAGCGTCTTTCAAGTCTGTTCTGGGAGAACCACCTGCAACAGGTGGAATTTAACTCAGTGTCATGGTCATAATTCAATCATACCCTTGGAGCCACCACGGGGCCTTTTTTAAGGAAACACAGAATTACTAATATTCTGATCACTTTGGCCAAGAAATGTTTTTCGTGTGTGAGGCGACTCTAGGACCCTGTTCTTGTCCACCTTATATTTACTAATTTTCAACTGGAGTTTTAGGGTAGGGGTAAGCGCCACCCCCTGTTCTATTTCAAACCACCCCAGGGCTGCAACTCAATCCCCTCTTTTCTTTCCTAGTCTGTGTGTAACTATCCAATGCCCAGGCTCATACCCAAAGTTCACGGGAAAACCTGGGTCCTAGCTGTAGAATGTAATACATAATACCTGAAACTACCTTATTTATAAACGGCTTTAAAATACTGGGTTTTGCCCATGTGCCCACAATACCACCTTCTGTGCCCCCTCATTTTCGGATAACCAGGCTACCCATTTCATTCCTAACCGTTTCTTAGGGGCGCTGTGAGTGCAGCGATTTCAGGGGTGCTCAGGTGTCCGGATCCCGTTTTAACACTGATGCCTGGGAACAGTTTTCCACGGGCCGGTAACCACCGCGCCCAGATTTTCTGCAGAGTCCCCAGGACACCCCGGGGTGCCCCGCCCGGCCGGAGGGGCTCAGCGCCGCGCGCCGGGGGACGCGGGGATGGGCGCGTCCCGGGCAAACCGGAGCCGCCTAATTTAATTACCCGCAGCCTCCCGCTCGCCCGGAGCAGAGATGCTAATTCCCGAGGGCAAAACGGAAACGATTACAGACACACGAAAGAAAAACAAAGGGGCGGCGCAACCA